CATTCTGCTTGTAACGCAAGTTGTGTGAGTGTCTGCGGCGTTTTCTGACATTGACGTACACGTCGATCGAGTTCATCCTAGAGGTGTTCGATTGGGTTGAGATCTGGAGATCTCGACGGCCAGGGCAGGAGTTGATGTTTGTATTATGGGGATAGTCTACCGTGACACGAGTGTTGAGCGTTGTCCTGTTGAAACAGCTCCCTCTGGCGCTCAATGATTGGAAGAAGGCGAGTTTGAAGAATTTGATTCATGTAGCGATATGCTGTCAAATTTCCCAGAACCACAACCAAGTCAGATCTCGTGGTGAAGGATATGGCCCCCATACCATGACACTACCGCAACCGAAATTGTCGAAATCACGTACACAATGTTGGGCAAAACACTCATTTCGACGAAGATAAACACGCTGTCTTCCATCTCGCCGGTGAAGAAGAAATCATGATTCATCGCTAAACCACACTCGTCTCCAGTTTCTCAAATTCCAAGGCTGTAAGGGATGGCACCAAAGCAAGCGTCGCTGTCGATGGGTCAGTTGAAAACAGGGACGATAACTGGTCTTCTGGGTCGGATCTCAGCCTCGCGAAGATGGTTCCTGACAGTCTGGTCCGATATCCTCCTCAAACCATTGCGATGACGTAGATGGAACAGTCGTATGTAGCTATCCTGTGCAGGGGTGAAAACTCTTGGTCGGTCGGTTCTCGGACGTTCTGCAGTGGAATTGAACTGTGTATATCGGTCACAGAGGCGGCAAATGGTGCTGTGGTGGACGTTGAAGTGGCGTACAACAGAAGACTGCGATTCCCCTCTTTGGATACGTCCTATGGTGATGTTCCGATCGGCAGCGCTGAGTCTCGGCATTTTCGAACTTTAAAAATGTTGACAATTGCATGACAAATTATTGGCTTATGCTTGCCCTTTCATAGCCACTACCACGAGTTACGAATGCCATAACTTGCACCTGCATTTTGCTTTACTGTTTTGCTCCATCACAGTTTTGAACAAGTGTGAAAACAATGCCGTTTAAGACATTGCAAATAGGCAATGGCTGCGTTTTGACGCACCGTTTGTCGAATATCAGGCCACCATCATTTTCCAGTAACATATGTCCGATGTATATACCGGATCTTTTGTGTAGTCAGGTTCAATAAACTACATACTACCTGTGCGTTTCTTTTTAACTAATGTTCCGAAAATGAACCCCAAAATCTAAACGTCAAACGTATCTCATTCACAAAGTTAAGAATCTGACAGTGCAGCCATAGATGCTTGGGTCCTAGAAAGTGTGTCATATTGTATTAATAAGACCAGGCTTTTAATATTGTCGGGGGCACGGGTGACCCAGTCGTCTAAGGCGCCGCGATTCGCTGTGCAGAGTTGCGTCTCTTGGGCACGCCAGAAAAACCTATGATTGTGGGTTGGAATCCTGGTTCGCCCCGATGATGCTTCTAGGTTTGTCAGCACCATACCCGTGCTCGTGCGTTTCACCAAAGTGGTAAACGTCTAAGACCTGCATCACTTCGGGCTTTCCTCCCACATTAAGCTGACACGCCGCGATATAACTGGAATACTAAAGCGGCGTTAAACCCAACTCACTCACTCATATATTGTTATAACTGCATCCTCACTCACTCACTCACTCACTCACTCACTCACTCACTCACTCACTCACTCACTCACTCACTCACTCACTCACTCACTCCTGTCTTCAGTTGGGCAATGTCCAATGAGACGACGAAGAACTACATTCCTAAACCTATCACCATATTGCCCTATATTGCATTTGATCGTATGCAGATACATGTACAACATATTGTATGTGGACCACTTTTTTTTCCATTCCTACAATCACTACGGTGGAAATGGATACAATTTCTACACAGGAATATTGCCAATAACGACAATATGAATTACATACATGCAATGAATACAACGATAACATAGATGCATTGCTATCAGTACAGACAAGGATGATACAACGTTACAAATATACCAATACATAAATAGGTACAATGGAAAAATGAGCATAGACATTGGTGAATATGACAGCGGTAGCTCTGTCTTGCTCTGATCGTTATGTTCACTCCTCACAAATAATGCTTTTACTTCTTCTCTGCTTCACTTATTTTCTTTCATTCTATTTTTCTTGTCCGTTCATATTGTCCATGTGGACAAACACTTCATTCACCCATCTGTCTCTCTCTCTGTGTGTCTCTCTCGCACCCACACTACACCTCTCTCTCTCTCTCTCTCGCACCCACACTACACCCCCCTCTCTCTCTCTCTCGCACCCACACTACACCCCCTTTCTCTCTCTGTTTCTCTCTCTCTTGCACCCACACTATACCTCCCTTTCTCTCTATGTTTCTCACTCTTGCACCCACACTACACCTCCCTTTCTCTCTGTTTCACTCTCTCTCTCTTGCACCCACACTACACCTCCCTTTCTCTCTGTTTCACTCTCTCTCTCTTGCACCCACACTACACCTCCCTCTTTCTCTCTGTTTCTCTCTCTCTCGTACACACACTACACCCCCTTTCTCTCTCTGTTTCTCTCTCTCCCCCTCTCTCTCTCTTGCACTCACACTTCACCTCCCTTTCTCTCTCTCTTGCACCCACACTACACCCCCTTTCTCTGTTTTTTCTCTCTCTCTTGCACCCACACTTCACCTCTCTTTCTCTCTCTCTCTTGCACCCACACTTCACCTCTTTTCTTCACCTTTTTTCACTCTTAGGCCACAAGTTAATCCACAAGTAAACCTTGACTATTTGTACACTGTACTTTCCTTCGTATGAGTTGGATTAAATGATTGAAATATACTCACCAACAAAAGAAACGGGAACACCATACATGTTGGTTTATATATGAAGAATTACTCATATTCAAGCGATATCGGTATATTGAGTGATCCGACGCTCATGAACGCATCACATGTGACGCCATAGACACGTGAATCGAAATGCACCATTTATCTCGCGCTGGATTAGCGTGTAAAGTTTGGAAATCACGTGCAGCATATCGTGATAAAAATAAGACCCTGTGGTAACAATTGACTTATTGTTAGTTTTGTCATTAATTGGTACACATTGGAAACATCTCTTCTTATCGTACATACTTCTCTATATGTTTCTATGGTTCGCGTTTCTTTTGGCGATGAGTATATATTCCTCTTTCCACAATGGAAAAGAGACAAAGGCCATTTAAATCACAAATTGAGTTCACAATTCGGTGAGAAAACAATGTGTGAAATATACTATTTCTTCAATAGTGTCCATTGTTCGCGTTTCGATACTTTCATTTATTTTGTTGTGAGACTTTTCAGTGTTTATGAATATTTGTAGTCGAGCATGTCGATGAAATTGAATGAGGTAAGATGATATTGTGTCCATCGTTACGGTTAGTCATATATAGTTACAGCAATATACATATATTTCATGACGTATATGGTAAACTTGGTATACGTGACAAAAAAAGTACTATAACTAACCACCCAATCTGTTTCATATTTCGATCTAGGCATAAAGAATCAGGGTGACAAAAAACTCTCCACTAGACTAGATGTAAGCGGGATGACTTCAAATTTCCAATAGTCTACCATCCTTTATGTCTAGCAATATTTCAGCATCACTAGCCTTTGGTGTATGCATTTCACAACTTTACAATGCAAGATTTCAAAGAACGTCATACGACTCTTTGTTGAAAGTGGTGAAATGTAGACAACGAAATATGTGACTGTTCCTTTCTAATGGTTTTACGTGTAATCTACTATAGTTGGGATATTGCTGAGTGCGGCGTTAAACAACAAACAACAAACAATCAAATAAATGCGTCTTTAGAACAATTTTGACATTTCTTTCTTTCTTAAAGAGCCATGGATATCGATGCAATTGATGAATCATGTGTGTAATTTAACAAGGGGCCTATTAACTCTCTGCACCCACGTAAAAAGGAACATGATTTAATCGGTGAATCATGTCTAAATACGTATGTCTGAATATTGCCTGTCTCTGCTTGAGATAAGAATTCACTGTAATCAGTAACAGCAATGAAAAATGGCTTCTATTATTCCTAGAAGGCTAAATATCCTTAAAATGGCGTCATTTGTGGCTAATCGGCAATTTTGTAAGTTACAACTACCACGACAGTTAGCTTATATAGAAAACTAACAACCCAGATAGTGTAAACTAACTACCATCAACTCGTACAGTTTTTGTTATGTTAAATATCTCAGAACAGAATATCCACAAGGGTCATACAATTCCTAAAATGGCCTAATGAATCTGATGTTGACACGCTAATAAGTACAGCAGTGTGAAATTGGGATACGATGACATGCCACAACTAATTATATAAGTCAGCGAGCCTGACCACCCAATCCCGTTAGTCGCCTTTTACGACCAGCATAGTCGCCTTTTACGGCAAGCATGGGTTGCTGAAGACATATTCTACCCCGGATCTTCACGGGTCTGTATTCCTTGTAGCAAACCCGGGTACTCTCCCAATGTCAGTCAACAGATTGGGAGGTACCAAACCTAAGGCACCGAGAACAATGGGGAGTCGGACAACGTGGTACTTTGGATGCAAGTGTGACATTTCGAAAGCGAGGTCCGCATTTTTTCAATGTTTTTCCCGAATCTTGTCAATCACATAAGTGTCAAAAGTTAGTGATCGTGACCTGGTTTTTTCAGTGTTTTGTTCGCCAATCAATTGCCAGGTAAACACTTACACTTTCTGTATGTGACAATAGACACCCAGTGGAGATCCGGGTTAGAATAGGTCTTCAGCCTCCAATGCCTGCCGTAAGAGGCGACTAACCGGATCGGGTGGTCAGGTCTTGCTGACCTTGTTGATGGATGTCATCGTATCCAATATACGTAGATTGATGCTGATGCTGACTCTATTGTTAAACAGACATCCATCTTATAGCTGCAATATTACTAAGTGCGACATGAAACAACCAATGAACAAACACAACAGTCATAACGGTTAAGCTTTATTTCAGGAAATGGATGGTTACTGCAAGGATGAAGAACATGTGGCGGAATTGGTTCCAATGGCGGATACAGTCAACGCCAGCCCATCTAACAGAGGCAGCAAGGAAGAACAGAGAGGACAGTGGGCTTCAAATATTGACTACTTATTGTCTGTTATTGGCTTCTCTGTTGGGCTTTCAAACGTTCTCCGTTTTCCTTATGTCTGCAACAAGAACGGGGGAGGTTAGTGTTGTGTTATGAGTGAGTGAGTAAGTTGGGTTTAACGCCTCTTTGAACAGTATGTCAGTTATATCACGGCGTGGCAGAGTTATGTGGGAGAAAGCCCGAAGTGATGCAGGTCTCGGACATTTACACTGGGTTAAACCCACGAGCGCGGGGATGGTGCTGACAAACAAAGGAACATAATCGGGGCGAAGCGGGAGTCCTCTGTTTTATTACGAACTATGACATGGTGCAGTCACACAATTATACATGTTACCGTTGTACTAGCAAATTGTACCGTTAAAGGCGACTGTGCTTGGAAGAGGCGACTAACGGGATCAGGTGGTCAGGCTCGTTGACTTGGTTGATCGTCGTATCCCAATTGCGTGGATTGATGCTTATGAGGTAAATAACTGGATTGTCTGGTCCAGAATCGATTACGTTCAGATCGCCGTCATCCAGCTGGAATATTGCTGAGTACAAACAAACTAGCAAATAACACGTTCGTTCTGTATGCATGCAATGATATATGTGCTCCTTTAAGATCCGGGCTAGACATGGTCTTTAGCTACCCATGCTTGACGTAAGAGGCGACTAACCGGATCGGTTGGTCAGGGTCACTGACTTGGTTGGTGCATGTCACCGTATCCCATTTCCGTAGATCGATGCTCATGATATCAATCTATGGATTGTCTGGTCGAGACTCTAATACTTACAGAACGCCGAGTACGGCGCTTAACAACAAACAAACAAAATATCTGTTTTGACTACACGTTAAATGTGTATCATATGGCCAGTTACAAGTCGCGTTTGCATCAAGTGCTACACTGTGACATATACATAATGGTGTAGTCATACCAATATCCACGAATGCCAGTGCTTAATGATCAGTGAATGAAACTGTGTCGTCCATAGGCTTTGACACAAGGAATGAATGAATATAGTTTTACACCGCTTTTTTGCAATATTCCACCAATATCACGGCGGAGGACACCAGAAATGGGCTTCACACACTGAACCAATGCTCGGAATCGAACCCGGGTTCTCGGCGTGAATAGCGAACGCTTTAACCACTGGGCTACCCACCGCCATAAGAAAGTATCATGAATAATTCCATCCAGCCCCTGTGGGGATTCTTGGTTAGAAAAGTCCCTCGCAACCAATGTTTGTAAAGAGTTGACTAAATGAACCGGGTGGACAGGTTCGCTGAATTGCATGGATTGTTGCTCATAATATCAACCACGCGATTAATTACAGGCCTCGGTATTAGCTGGATAGCGGCAAACCAACAAACATAACCTGCGTGTGAAACTTGTTTATTTGTAGGTGCTTACCTTATCCCATACATGACGTGTCTGATGTTATGTGGTCTGCCTCTGTTCTTCCTTGAAGTTGCCATTGGACAATTCAGTGGGAAGGGGGTATCCCACGTCTGGAGCGTATGTCCCTTAATGAAAGGTGAGATTCTTTATATGTGTTTTATTATCATTACCATTACAATTAGATCTTTTACACCGAAACGATACCTCTTTGACAACCTTCTATGAGGAGTCGCATTTGGTGATCAATGGACATTGCGGCGCCTAATTTTTTGGTACCAGCGAGCGAAGCATTCAGAGCAGCGAATTTGATTTGCCTCGAAAACGAATATGAACAGGCAGTTTCGAATGGAAGATAATATAGGCCTCTTTATCATATTATTTTTTGGATATTAAATACACCCTATCGTTTTGAGTGCAACGGCATCGACACACATATCGAGGGTGTGTTGGAAGCTGACATCTGATCTCTGACAGCTGGGCCTACGCATCCTTTACGTTTGTTGGGCGGTCAAGGCTTCACCGAATATAACCACTTACAGTGGATGTCTCAGGTCTTGACACAGAGAGGTAACATATATATTGGAGCAACATATCTGATATTAATGAGAACGGTAATAAGCCTATTATGAGACGTCGCACTAATTGTAATATAGAAGTTGTTCATCCATAGAACTCGTCTTACTTCATCACTCCAACTTCTAAATGCCACTCAAAGAAGCTATTATGAGCCTGTTGTATATCAGGCTGACAGACATAAGATAATGCATGAGCGCTTCGCTACCAATTGCCATATAAATTATCCTTACATACTGAGCGAAAAATCTCGTGAAAATGAAAATCGTTTATATCAGAATCAGGTGAGGTGAAATTGGGTTTAACGTCGCGTACAAGATTATTGCACTTATATAGCGACGTGCATGTACGTGTATGTGTTTATATGGCTGCTTGTACTAGTCCGAAATGATGCCGATTTATAGTGCTAGCTCACTGAGATACCATGCCGCAGTTTAACACGAATACCCCACTTAGACACAGTATACGGACTGCGAGCCGACCAGTCCTTGTTTTAGCCCCTTAATGCCGAGCGCCAGGCAGGGTAACAATAAGTACCATCTTTCCGCTTCTCCGGGCGGACGCTCTACCACTAGACCACGGAGGCGGTTTATATCAGAATCATTGAAGACATAATGAGATGAACGTTGTGCCAATACTATTTGCTGTATATATAACACTCATACCTATAACAGTCATCTCTTCTTATATTTTTAAGGCGCCGCGATTCGCTGTGCAGAGTTGCGTCCCAGAAACCTATGCTTGTGGGAATCCCGGTTCGCCCCGATTATGTTTCTAGGTTTGTCAGCACCATACCCGTGCTCGTGGGTTTCACTGAAGTGGTAAACGTCTGAGACCTGCATCATTTCGGGCTTTCCTCCCACATTAAGCTGACACGCCGTGATATAACTGGAATAATGATAAAAGCGGCGTTAAACCCAACTCACTCACTCATATATTGTTATAACTGCATCCTCTTCTATAGTTTTTGAGTTAATTGCACATGAATCCATGATCTATATTTGTTCAGGTCTTGGATTCGGCATGCTGATCGTGACCTTTGGTACTAACGTGTACTACACCATCAACTCTGCATGGGCTCTGTACTACGCTGTCTCATCGTGTAGAGCCGTCCTGCCGTGGTCAACCTGTGGCAATTCCTGGAACACAGAGAAATGTGTCAAAGACATCAGAGGACTGAGAGTCGCCACAGGTGTGATATGCCAGGAGAGTAGAATCAGCAATTTGCTGCTACTGTGGACAGTGAAGCTATGAACCTTCGCCATAATACCGTGACTATTACGTATGTGGGACCCGTGAAGATCCGGGGTGGAATAGGTCTTCAGTAACCCATGCTTGCCGTAAAAGGCGACTAACGGGATTGGGTTGTCAGGCTGACTTTGTTGATGCAAACCATCGTATCCAATTTGCGTGAATCGATGCTCATGACATCAACCACTGGATTGTCTGGTCCAGACTCGATTATTTACAGACCGCCGTCATATAGCTGGAATATTGCTGAGTGCGGCGTTGAGCAAAAACAAAAACAAAAACAAACATAAATCTAATCATCATATACTTGTTTCTTGCAGAAATTAACTGTAACACCGTAACTGCTTATTTAAAATGTTACATTAATTTAAGTTGGGCAACTATTTTGGATACGTCTTGATACGCCATCGGACTTCCAAAGTAACATTTAGTTGGGTATATCCGGTGGAATTACACCCGTGAAAATCCGGGGTAGAATAGGTCTTCAGCAACCTATGCTTGCCATAAAAGGCGACTATGCTTGTCGTAAGAGTCGACTAAGGGGATCGGGTGGTCAGGCTCGCTGACTTGGTTGATGCATGTCATCGTATCCAAAGTGCGTGAATCGATGCTCATGATATCAATCACTGGATTGTCTGGTCCAGACTTGATTATTTACAGACCGCCGTCATATAGTTGGAATATTGCTGAGTGCGGCGTTAAACAACAAACAGTACGATAGGTGGTATTGTTAATTTCAGCTCAATTGAGACAAACTATATGTCATTGATGGTTGTCGTCTATATTGAATGATTTATATTTAGAGTAAAACATTTCAATATGTCAACACAAAGGCCAAAACGTTTTGATTTTCACTCCAATTATATTCAGACCTATTCAATTGTATTCAGTCAGCAACTCTACCATGCTTAATGGAACCGTGATCAACTCGACACTAACACCTTACAATGGCACCACGGAATATGGCAGCAGTGGTTGGGGAAAAACTGAAACATTATCGCATACTGCAGCGGAGGAATTCTGGCAGTATGTATACATTACTATAACTCACATGCCATTCAGTGTTGATAGTGCATGGTTTATTGGGTCTTACACGGTACCAAACGCTACAAATGTGTCAGTTTCTAGATGCAGCGAAACCTGGTTTGTCCAGTTTGTCCAGGCGATCCTGTTTTGCTTCCATATTTCGTTAATTATTTCGACAAATTCCTGGGAAATTGCCGTCCGGATTAATGAAGTGGTCAAAATGTCCTCTGACGTTTACTGTGAAATTCTGGACTTCCTCATTCAAATCATTCTGTGAAATTTGGAGAAAAGACATTCTGGCAAGAAGTAGGCATCCTCATGGACACCAATTGTGCTCCCCATCTTGCTCAAATGTTTCTTTATGCACATGAATCGGAATTTGTGCTCGGATTGGCAAAATATGAAAATGGGAATTTGGTCAAGAAGTTTCCTGAACTTAAGCCCCGGGTATATCGACGGTCTGATATAAATAATGGTCAAATAGTCAATTCCTTTCCATTAATTTACCCATCTGAACCAGGAATAAAAGAGATCAGTGAAACGCCTCATCTGTTTCATTTTTAGATTTATGCAAAGATTCAGAATGACACAAGACTGTATGACAAGAGGGATTACTTCAACTTTCGACCCGTGAAGATTCCAGGGTAGCATAGGTCTTCAGCAACCCATGCTTGCCGCAAAAGGTGACCATGCTTGTCGTAAAAGGCGACTAACAGGATCGGGTGGTCAGGCTCGCTGACTTGGTTGATACATGTCATCGATCCCAATTGCGTGGATCGATGCTCATGATATCAGTCACTGGATAAGTCAGAGTTGTTACTGTAACAGTACAAAACCTAATTACAAGCAGAAGTCCAGGTGTGATGAAACACCATGACACTTGGTCCATGGTCTCCCCGTCATCACGTCGATATCGTCGACATAGTTCACTCCTAAAATAAGAAACGTTCTTATATAAATAACAGCGACAAACCGTACACATAGCTTCAAGAAATCTCTTTCTAAAAGCAGAGTCGATTTCACGATTCCGACTGTATCATGAGCATGTGTCTATGAATCACTAACATGCTTTAACTTGTGCCATAATGTTCCCGTTTTTTTCAGGTGAACAATTGACTTGCCTTTGCATGTGTGACGGGTGCCACCGGTGAGGCAGGATACGCTCACCTTCTCACGAACACTTGGTATTATCACTGTTTGATAGTGATTCATAAACATACGTTCATGTTAGAGTCTTAATCGTACAATCGACACTCCTTTGACAGAGATTTCTTATGAATATGGAAAGGGTTTTGTCGCTTTTATATATCAGCAATATTCAGCCTTATGATGGCGGGGCAGGAGCACCAGAAATTAACATGATTGTTGCTTACACATTGATGGGGATTCGAACTCTGGTCTTCGATGTGACGAGCCTATGGTTTAACCTCTAGCTTACCCTATCGTCATCGACCCTTGAAGATTACGGGGTAGAATAGGTCTTCAGCAACCCATGCTTGCCGTAAAAGGTGACTATGCTTGTCGTAAAAGGCGACTAACGGGATCGGGTGGTCAGGCTCGCTGACTTGGTTGTGCATGTCATCGATCCCAATTGCGTGGATCGATGCTCATGATATTAATCACTGGATTGTCTGGTCCAGACTCGATTATTTACAGACTGCCGTCATATAGCTGGAATATTGCTGAGTGGGGCGTTAATCAACCAACCATTCAACCAACCAACCAATCATTATGTAATGTTCAATACTCGTCTCACATCCGTCAGTAAATTAAAGACAACAGTTGTGCCATTGCCAAGTGATGGTATCCTTGGTTATACCTTCTTCAGATACAACGCTCTCAGCATCAGTCCTGGCTTGGAGCAAGTGGGGAATATCAAGTGGGAGCTGGCTCTGTGTCTCTTTGTCACGTACTTGCTGGTATTCTGCTGCATTATTAAAGGCGTTAGATCAGTTGGAAAGGTAAGAAACCGTGTGTCACGTACTCAATATAACTGCATCCGCGTGGGGACCGCCTCCGTGGTCTAGTGGTAGAGCGTCACCTCGGAGAGCGGAAGGTCCGGGGTTCGATCCCCGGCCGCGTCATACCAAAAGACGTTAAAAGGTGGTACTTGTTGTGACCCTGTCTGGCGCTCGGCATTAAGGTGCTAAAACAAGGATTGGTCGGCTCGCAGTCAGTATACTGTGTCTGTGTGGGGTATTCATGTTAAACTGCGGCCGATTGGTATCTCAGTGGGCTAGCACTATAAATCGGCATCAGTCCGGACCAGTACAAGCAGCCACAAACACACACACACACACGTACATGCACGTCGCTATATAAATGCAGTAATCTTGGACGCGACGTTAAACCCTCTTTTACACCTCATTCGCGTGGATTTCTGACCGGAAAAGATTAGAATGTTAGAATTAAGTTGCTACCAGTGTAATACTGTAAATAACTTAATGTTCACGTTAATGTCCAGTCCATACAAGTAAAATTGGCAAACTGTGTTAAAATAGGTATGTATATGCTCCATTAGAAACATGTTACTTTCATCCTTTCTCTGTATCACTGTTGTGAGTTAGGAATAATTCTTCTTCTTCGTCAGTGTGGATCGTTGCCATTGCTATTGTCCACTTAATTATCCACAGACTGCGGAGAAAAGCAACACTCACTCATTCCCTTTCTGTAAGATAATTGATGCGAATAGCTGCTCAATTGTTACTTGTTCTCATATTTGATAGGGGGGCACGGGTGGCCCAGTCGTGTGAGGCGCCGCGATTCGCTGTGCAGAGTTGCGTCCCTTGGGCACGCCAGAAACCTATGATTGTGGGTTCGAATCCCGGTTCGCCCCGATTATGTTTCTAGGTTTGTCAGCACCATACCCGTGCTCGTGGGTTTCACCGAAGTGGTTAACGTCTTAGACCTGTATCACTTCGGGCTTTCCTCCCACATTAAGCTGTCAGGCCGTGATATAACTGGAATAATGTTAAAAGCGGCGTTAAACCCAACTCACTCACTCATATTTGATAGGCAATTTATTGACTGACATAGTAAAAGTTTGGTAAGGAAATACTAATCAGTTTGTTTTTATGACAACGTCAGTATCGGCACTGTGTCAATAAAGACGTTGTAATCCTTCAACTACGTCGTCAACTACGTCTACCTGCAAAATTACTGATGCGGCAGACTGACTCCTTTCAAATTTAAACGAGGTCTATGGTGACCACAGGGTTACACATATACATTATTTTGCTGTGAATGTGAGGTCAGAACTGTTTTATTGTAGGCTGTCTACCTTACTGCAACGCTTCCATATCTGTTCCTCATCATTCTCTGTATCCGCGGGTTGACTTTGCCTGGAGGACCAAACGGCGCTCTGTTTTACCTTGCACCGGATTTCAGCAAAATACTCGACATAGAGGTGACCTTTAAACAGTACATTTTTAAAGTTAACTTAGGGCATTTGGGACATCCTTGCACCAACATCAGCATAATTCAGCAACTTGATGTTAATGACTACTTTCATAAACTTCCAAATCTTCTCTGATCCTAATCTTGAATGTTTCAGTCACGTTATTTCAATATATGTTATAACATTGTAAGCTGGGACCAATTTTCACATTCCGAAAAGTTTATAATTGGTTGTAAATAATTTGAAGAATTTGATGTTCTCGGATGCCAATCTTAACCAAAATGTTTAAATTAAGTTATTAAAGTATATGTTATAACATTGCAAGCTGGGAACAATTTTCACATTCCGAAAAGTTTATAATTGGTTGTAAATAATTTGAAGAATTTGATGTCCTCGGATGCCAATCTTAACCAAAATGTTTAAATTAAGTTATTAAAGTATATGTTATAACATTGCAACTTTGGAATAATGTTTTTCAAAACGTGTAATGAAACCTGATGTGCAAAGTTTGTATATTTGTAATACATTTTCTGTGAACTCTCCTTGTCATCGTGGATCTCTGAAGGTGTGGCTGGAGGCCTGTGTTCAGGTGTTCTTCTCGCTTGGCCCAGCATGGGGAAGCCTCATCACAATGGCAAGCCACAACACGTTCCATACCAATTGTCTCAGGTCAGGAACTTACCATGTACTATTCTGTGTTGCCTCCGATATTTTATTTGAGACAATTCTTTTACGGCCAGTCCTTCAAACATACAGTTTTCTTTGTCAGAAGGAGCAATTGCTTTTACTACACTTTATTTTTCAGAACCTCCAATATGTCAGTGAATTTTTAATGGTCGGCCCGGAGACAAGTGTAACATAATACTAAAAGGTTACTCCTTTTTTGTGAAGTGTTGAAAGCACATATCCAAACATTTCTTTATTTGTATACGCCGCTTTGAACAGTATTCCAGTTAAATCACCACTAGCACTATCACCACTGTTATCATCATTATTTGATAGTGATTCATTAAAGGAATCGTACAATGGACTGCATTCAGCAGTTATTTCTTAAGATTATGAAAAAGGGCGTGTCGCTTTTATTTATTGACAATACGGTATACATGCAACTGATGAGTAATATTACAATATACTTCTGTTATGACATGTCCTGCTCCTGTTTACTAGTGTGTGATAGCATTCAGTAACTGTTGTCTGTAGTTTCGTTAAAATAACCTTTGAATTTAAATCATCCAATATCACAACGGTCATAAAACTTCTTCTGAAGGAATGCAGTCGTCTGTACATTCGTGTGTGGAGGAACCAGCCTGTTTTCTGGAATTGGTGTTTTCTCCGTTCTTGGATTCATGGCCCATGAAGCAGATGTTCCCATCACAGATGTTGTGTCTTCAGGTACGCATCTGTATATTATAATCATTGGTTAATGTCATTTATCATCCAAAACTGGCTCCCACAGAAGATATCGCTTGGGTGAGATCGATCGTACTGCGTCACAATGCTTTGCTGACCATTGTGACGTCATTGGTTACCATGACGTCACAATCAAATGACATCACTAATGGCTATGCTACTGAAGCTGTTAGCAGGACTTTTTACACTTAAGTCACTGCTTATTACTGTCTACAAACTGAAAAAGTTGGAAGAATGATGTTGGATGATAAAGAAAATCTCACCCTCTTGTCTTTTGATATCAAATATATCAACACTCGTTGATAAAAGTGGAACAAATCCTCAGCAATTCTCGGAGTTTTTCCACTTTTATCAACTCGTGTTGACATATTTGATATCAAAAGACACTTGGTTGAGATTCTCTTTATCTTCAAATACAGATGAAAATATATCCAATGATGATTCAATTAAACTACAAAATTTTGAATAGTCCAGGAACTACTTTTGTAATATGTCCTTATCTCGAAGGGCTTTGGACTCTATGCCTGGTTATTTGTAATTCGAGACAAGCGAAGTGCCTACGTCAGATCACAGTTTTCAATCAGGATTCCATCCAAACCTTTAAGCTGTACCATCTTAAACGATATATCGAGTTAGAGATAGTGAGTTAGTTCGAGCCCGATGTGGTCCTGACATTGTTGGTCAAGCAGGAAGGTAGTTCACGATTATTTGATAATATAATTGTGCTGCTGTAGGACCAAAATGTTAATTCTGTCGGAACCACAACATGACATCGTCTTAAACGATATACATGTATTGAGATAATGAAGTTTGAGTCAAAATGTTTCACTGTAGGTTCATTCGACAGATTCAGAACAATTTGATCAATGTGTACCTTCCGAACAAGCCTTACAACTACAAGGTTCTACTTACAATCTAGACATTCGTATTTATTCCAGGTCCAGGTTTAGGTTTCGTTATTTACCCAGAAGCCTTGGCCCAACTTCCGTTTCCGCAGCTATGGAGCTTCTTCTTCTTCATTTTGCTGATTCTTTTGACACTGGATTCAGCGGTGAGACGCTATAATATGAATACACCCAGACACATGTTCTCCTCTTGTCTTATTATCAAAAGTTCAAATATTTCATAAGTAAATTCATAAGCCTTATTATTCCATGCAACATAACACGAACCTCGTCATATTCACATAATAATAGTACCTGTAAGATATACCTCAAGTTGAATTAAGCGGAAAATAGTTCATACAATTCAGGGATTTATCTAGGAATCCAAACTAAGTGCTCTTGGCAGACAAAATGGGGCAAATATAATTTTTAAAACTCCTTATTTTAATCATTTCAAAGGTATTTTAATAGATTTATTTCATTCAATGCCAAAACCTATACTGACGATTAAAACATCTTCTTGTTAATTGGCCCTGAAATGCCTCTGCAAAGCCGTTGCTATAATGACATTGGTATAACTTGGTAACTTCTTATATTCTAATTTACTGACAATTGTTTCAGACTTAATTATGTTAACTTAATTTATATACTTATTAATTTAGTTGGTTTTAAATTTGTGTTGCATGTGTTATATCTATGTTGCTTATTTACTTTGATTGTTGATAAAACTGTCATTTGTTCTCGTCGCTCTGTAACATAAGATATTGACGTACACACATTCACTCACTCATTATTGTTTTTATTTGTTTGTTTGTTTTCATCACGAAACAACCTTCAACATTTCATTGTATAGTTTACAATGGTTGAAACTGTCATATCGGCCATTATGGATCAATTCCCTGCTCTGCTGAAATGGAGACTCTGTGTAAATGCTGGGTACTGCACTGCTGCCTTTCTGCTGGGTCTGGTATTTGCCACTGAGGTTTGTACTAAGAACTTTGTGTCCTTTCAGGTGTGTCTAGTACCACTGATACCACTCACTGACTGTTTAAAGATATACAAAATAAGGGAGTAGTGGATGATATGTGGGCTCGGTCCATTCAGCCCACCTCGGGTCTTGTGTTCGCATAGTGGCTTCACCAAGAGTAGTTAGTTATTGTGTTATACCGAAATTCATATATGAAGTGCTTATTTTCACTTTTTAGTTACTGTTGTCCTTGTTATCAAACATGTAAATGAGATCCTCTTCAGAAATATAGGCGAACCGTTATTACTACTCGGGGACGCCATGTTGTTTTTGTAGCTTTTGTAGCAGAAAAAGTCCTTACCGATCCGATGACAGGTCAATAGTGATCATGTGACTTGTCAATGTTCAAAGGTTAGTGTCAGCCATTTTTAGAGTCAATTTTCTATTATTAGGTCATCACTGATATTTATTGTCTTGTCAGGTGATATAGATTAACCAATGGAATCCCAAGATTCTTAATGGAGGTATATCAATGAGAAAATGTTATGTTTCTTAAGCATATTTGTTTGTCTATTAGTTCTTTAATCATACCTTGCATCAATTTAGGAATTCTCCTTTTAGGGTGGAATGTACATTTTCCAGCTGGTCGATTGGTACTTTGTGGCCATATTCCTAGTCCTGGTGGGGCTTCTGGAGTGCATCATCCTGGGATGGATATACGGTATGGCACATATGTATTAGTCATGGTGTTATATCCCATATTCTCCGGAAGTTTCTTTGTATTCTGATTTTAACATATTTAGGAACAATTGTAGTGATGATAATTTTATGTGAAGGACCGCTTGTCACGCCGAAGGCCCGGGTTCGATTCCTCATATGGGTACAAAGTGAGAAACCCATTTCTGGTGTCCCCCTCCGTGATATTGTATGAATATTGCGAAAAGCGGCGTAAACCCAACTCCCTCACTCAAAGGCAACATATATGATATAAAGTAAAAGCGACAAGCCATTTCCATAATCCTAAGAAAGTCATAAAAGTCCATTGAATCCGACTATATCACAATCATGTGTTTATGAATCACTATCAAATAGTGATGATACAAGGTGTTCGCAAAAATGTGAGCGTATATTGCCCCAACGGAGGCACCATTCAGAAACACATGCAAAAGTAAGTGAATGGTTCACCTGAAAAGAACATACGGGAACATTAAGTCAAGGATATTAAGTTGATACAAGCACTTTCTCATTTCAGGAGTGAACAATGTCAGCGAGGACATCCACATGATGACGGGGAGCCCAGTTCCAGTGTTCTTCAAAGTGTCATGGTGTTTCATCACACCTTCACTGCTTCTGGTAGTCAGCTTTTGTGACATGTCTGGTCATTTTCCCTCATTTGACTGACTGATGCGCAGCGGAATTAAACAGTTGAGAGCTTGGTTTAACTAAAATGAAAACTAATCAACTAAATTTGAATGACTTACCTGTTAAATGACCAAGGGACTTAACGTGATAACCTGTCATTAAGTTATGGAGGATCTACAAGAAACTGCTCTCAAGTATGTGACGATAGGGAAGACCAAACTAAATATCTGATGCTAATTGGCTGAGAGTCAGTGAGAGGGTATGAGAGGCCATGAGAGGCTATGAAAGGCTACGAGAGGCAATGTAATCCCCACGGCAGTCAAACGCTAACTAACTGGTTGATTGTTGCTACCGTCTTATATCTGTCCTAAACCCTCGCATTTCACGTGCAATCACAACCATACGTTTTTGTGTTCACGCGATGCGATCTTTATGAATCGCGTTTAGGAGAACAGTTATGAAAACCTATATGTCTTCAGACAAGGACTGTTGGGTGTGTCATACCGATACACAAGATGGGTTCTACGGGGGATGTCCATAACTGGAGAGGGATAACATTGTTAAGTACTTTTGGAAAGGTTTTCACAAAGGTTTTAAATACCAGGCTGGAAAAGGTAGCCATCGAATACAATTTAGTATCTGAAGCAGTTTGCTGTTAAAGGGGGATGCAGCTATGGGTTAAAGTTTCTTCAAATGGTAAACACCACAAAGCTGTAAAGGTTTTGGCTGATGGAGGCATTAAGGCTTTTAATGTGTTGATATTGAAATACGAAAACATAAATTGGATATAAAGTCTTTAGAATTGTTTGATACTTTTGTTGAGCCGGTGCTTGATAATGGTTGTGAAATTTGGGGTCTGTCACAAGCTGATTGTTATGAAAAGGTGTATAGAAAATGTCTTAAGCAGTTGTTGGGTGTGAAAGAAAACGCAAGTTATATCTATGTATATGGGGAGACACGTAGATGCCCATTGGATATCAGACGGCAGCTATAAAGGGTGGAATTTTAAATTTATTAACTCAGAAAATTGTATTTTACAAGCAGTTAATAATATGGCATTTCTTTACAGGGATTTTGTGAAGTGAAAAAAATCTTATCTCACCATGTTTTTTTACATTAGTTGGCTAGATCCATCACATATTTCCACATCAGTGTCTTATCTTATTGGCAGTAACAGTTGGATTACAGTAAAGTACGTTTATAACGAACACGTTTATAACGGATTGACGGATATTACGAACTTAATTTTTGGTCCCGTCCATATGTTGTATGGATGTTGTATATATGATTATAACGAACTACGGTTATAACGAACTAAAATTAGTGGTCCGTTAGAGTTCGTTATAACCGTAGTTTACTGTATTTGAAATAGAAGATTATCTGTAAGTGATAAGCAATGATATGCAACCATAGGACGGCTTTGCCAAAACTTAGAATGTCATCTCACACATTTAAAGACACAGGTCGCTATGGGGGGAGCCGCGTACTACGCACTCAGAGAATATGTTGTAAATGTAACACAAAAGATGTTGAAGATGGGTTCCCCTTTGTGTCCAGTATACTTAGACCTAAGGAAAAAAATTATATTACCCAAATATTAATTTATAAATATCCATCTGTGTATTATAAATGAATTCAATTATCGGTTCGTAAGATAAAAGAAAACTATAAAGTCGTTAGGTATATTGGTATATGAAGCCTTTCGTACCAAGCATATGTGTGTGCGTGTGCCTGCCTGTGCGCCTGAGCGCGCTCGTGCGTGCGTGCGTGCGTGCGTGTGTGACACAATTTTCATAAAAAAGTACAATGCAGAAGTAGCGCAGCAATACACCAGCCACACGATGATGTGTGAACAACCGAGTCTGGAAAACAAGCTAAAATACTCTACTTCTAACACAACATGATATTATATAGATGCACCTAAATGATATGTTATTGTCTTGAACTTTTATTTTCGTTTATCTGCCTTAAATAGTGGTATTAGATTTTGCAATACTCGTTGAAAGATAATATTTGACATTAAATAATGCTTATGTAGGTTTTCAGCAAATATTATACACTCTTACACGAAGCTTCTTACATACACGAGCGTAAAACCCGAAAATCCAGGCCAATATATGACATTGTCAATATTCAACAGCTACTTCATATTAATTCGACATAGAAATTAAATTTATCAATATTATTGTATTTCAAGCACAATTATTTGTAAATGTTTATGATACAAGATTTCAAACATTTCTTTATTTTGCATTTGCAGATAATATTCATTTCCACTCTGGCCCGTTACAAGCCTCCAACATATGGCAATTATGTTTATCCCCCGTACGCTGCTACGATTGGCTGGTGCCTAGCAACCATTCCCTGTATTCCATTGGTTGTGGGGATGCTTCTGGCCATATACAAAGAAAAGGGGAGCTTATTGCAGGTGACTTATCAATATCTTTCTAAAAACAACAACATATTTAAGTCGCTTTTTGAAAATATGAATATACATCGTCAATGCAATGGTTCCGGTCAGAATACCGTTTTTCCTATATTACACGCCCGGGCTTCTATTTATTTCGGACAAGCCTTTGACCCGGCGTCAATTAGAGGCCCGGCGTCTAATTGAGGCCCGGCTTCTATTAATACCCCCATTTCACTATGACCACGAAGGTCCCGAATCGTCACGAAATGGAAATATTTTGAGTCCTCATTATGTAATTTAGGTCCCAAAAAGGGATCATTAATTGTATCAATTGATCGACACGGCGTCTATTAGAGGCCCGGCTTCTATTTTTTGTGCTGAACAATTGACCCGGCTTCTATTAGAGGCCCGGCGTCTAATAGAAGAAATACGGTAGACCCTAGCAGCTTATGCTTGTCGGTAGAGCCGTTCAGAATGAGGGTCGGGTGGTTACACCGTCTCAGATAGCGGGTCATTTCATTCAGACTTACACGATCAACCATGACCTCCAATACGATTAATTACAAGCCTTTTGGAAATAGCTAAATATTGCTGACGTGTTAAACTACATCCGTTCACTGAATAAGCTATCTGAAAGTCATTGGTCTAATATAACACAACCATGTTCCATATACATAATATTTGCGTGTATGTATACAATAACATATCTTAAAAGTGACCCTTTCACAAGAACATGCCCCTAGGATTTATAGAGATATAAATGTGTGTTTCCCATGAAACTAACGTGTAAAATGGACAGTCGGAGGACACATTGCGTATCGACAATGATATTATCGACCCTACTTTATGCAGATATTTCTGTTAACGTCGCTTTGAACAGTAATTACTTATTCAAGGCATGTCCGGTTAACGTGTAAGTAAGTCCAAAACGACACTAGTGAAACGCGCGAGCGTGTGCATGGTGCTGACACACCACGGATGATAGGATTCGAACCCATCCCCGCTGGATCCTGGTCCCCGCAAATGGATGTTATCTCTACGACTGTCGTAATTCAGTGTTGAAGTTTAGGTGTTACGATCGTCTTAGCGCTAAGACCGCTTTGTGGAAGAGGGTCCTGACGGGTCACTCTGAATTCTTGCACTCTGACAAGCGTGGTTTCTGGCAAGGCTAATGGACGCACCTCTGCACAGCGCGTGGCGGCGCCTCAGATTATTTGGCCACGGATTCCTACCCTTACAGCTTAGGTATATCGTCATTACAAACGACAGGGACCTACCCTTACAGCTTAGGTATATCGTCATTACATACGACGGGGAACCACCGCAGTTTGAACACCATTCAGTAGTCATGCTTCGCCTGCTCCAGGAATTTGCCACATAGTTTCCAGAAGTTTGCTAATTGCCACTTAGAAAATGATTTCGTCGAAAATACGGAGATGTTTTTAGTTATGTGGATCGCAAAAAGAGTAACTATATCATTAATTATGCATTCGTTTTTGTTGACGTGGTACCTGGAATTTGAGGTATTGGAAGTTTAACAATATGAATATGAATTCTATCAATATCCAAACTGACGGAAACATAAACATTCTACGACTTTGTTTATCTCAACTTCTGTAAAGATGTTGTCATGTTTCCATATTTATAGCGTCTCAAGAAGTCCTTGAAACCTGACAGCTCCTGGGGGCCGGTCAAATCGTCCTGTGTTGAATCATTTCGTATCAGACACAAGAAAACCAACTCTCTCAGAGACATCTGCTTATCATTTGTGCCTTGTAAATCTAAGTAAATAAAGTTCGGATTTACACAGTTTAACATATAACTTTTCATTGTCTTTCATGTTACGTGTGTATGTATGTGTGGTATCTGCATATTGTATGTGTGGTATCTGCATATTGTATGTGTGGTATCTGCATATTGTATGTGTGGTATCTGCATATTGTATGTGTGGTATCTGCATATTGTATGTGTGGTATCTACATATTGTATGTGTGGTATCTGCATATTGTATATAGGGTATTTGCATACTGAAAATGCCAAATTTCTACAGTTTAAATAAGAAAACACTGACATATATTGTCAGTAAAAGAATAAATCATAATGTTTTAGAATATGTTTTGAGTGCATTTTACTGCCTGGTCTTGTTGAGATTCTTGGTTAGAATTGGCCCCAGCAACCTATGCTTGACCTACGAGGCAACTAAAATGGATCGGTGGTCAAGCTCGGTGACTTGGCTAGATGACTGCTTGCATTGTTCCGCAACACACCAATACATAGCTGGAATATTCACTCCCTCATTCACTGATTACATGTACCTTATGTGATCTGATGGAAATGTTCTTGAAGTGTTCTAGCAGACAGACAGACAGATAGACAGACTTTATTCAGTACGCCCTAAGCCCAAAATACAAACAAGATGGAAACAAAATAATTAAATGCAAATGCTGAATAAACGGCTGGAGGAAAGTACAGGGATTTGTGTCACAGGGATAGGGATGTGCTTCTGATCGTTAGTACTTGACAAAGGAATATGATCAAACATGATATTTTATGGATATTGTCGGTTGACAGTAAGTGTGAAGTTATTATCCCGAACATGGTTAATATTTTCCGTTGATAAGAAAGAAGGTCACAAGTCAAATAGGTTTCTACACTGAGTAAAAGGTTTAAACTGAGAATAACAATAACATTCTGAATCAAATAAAGCGTCGAGGGAGTTATGCCAATATTGAAAGAGGCATTCATAATATCTCTGTTTCAAGATTACCAAAAATGAGTGAGTGAGTGAATATGGTTTTACGCCACTTTTAGCAATATTCCAGCAATATCACGGCGGGGACACCAGAAATGGGCTTCACACATTGTACCCATGTCGGGAATCGAACCAGGTCTTCGGCGTGACGAGCGAACGCTTTAACCACTAGGCTACCCGACCGCCTCCCAAAAATGATGAGATGCAACCAATATCTTGAGACAGCCATAGAAATCCAAAACCATATCTAAATAAAATATTTCTTATATGAGATGCCCAAGTATATTTACCAGTATCATCAAGAGTTTTAATCAGTTTATATGCTTGGTGGGGGAGTCTATGCTGAGGTAACTGGAGCAGTCTGCACCAGTATTTAACTGCTTTGGGTGTATAACAATATTGCATGGAGACTGCCACACTCTCCCAGGACCATATTGTTATTAGTATTCTTTGTTTACTCTCAGAAATGATTTACAGAATCTCGTGTGCACACTCTGAATGAACAATAAGCAGTTCCTTATATCTCAGATCCATAGCACAGAATAGGTGTGGTCATAACATAAAAATGTTAAAAAGATCATTATGACAAATATATCCAAAATGTTTCTGGGAGTTTCCCGCTTTTATCGCTTGTGCTGCTAAACATGTTTTAGCCTTTGTCCATGACAATTTAGGCACAAAAACAATACCAAGATATCTGTACATGTTGAGAACTTATATTTCTTTTCCATTTAGAAGCCATTTTTCATTTCTGTGGAGGGGGGCTCCATTTCTAAATACAATAATTTTAGTTTTATTGCAATTTACTTTAATTCCAGTGTCTGCTCAAAAACGTTCCAAAATTCTTTGCATTTCCCTTGGAAGCATCAAAGCAGTGTTTGATACAGGGGAAACATCATCAGCAAATAGTAATGAAAGCACGTCGGACATGATATAAGGAGATATAAAAAACTCACATCTCTTACCTTCCTCCTCCAACATAGTAGCAAGATGGCTGATGAAAATTATGAAGATATGGGGACTTAGGATACACCCTTGACATGTGCCAATGTTACATTTGAAGTATGGTGATAAGCCAGAATCATTTCTCGCACAAGCACACAGTGATGGATAAATTTACAAGAAACATGAATAACTTACCTCGAACACTTTTAAATATTTCACGATCGATGTAGTCAAATGCTTTGGAGAAATCAGTAAGGATAATAAAATCTACCATTTTTCTTTGATAAATATTTGTAGATCATGGCTTGCAATGTAAAGACATGCTCCGTGGTGGAATAATTTTGTCTAAATCCTGTTGGGATTCTGTTATTGTATCGTTATTATCACACAACTTACTTACTTACTTACTTTGGAGATTTAACGTGCGCTTTCCGACTGATGCGTATTTCGCACACGGGCCCGGCCAGGCCATTTAATGTGTTTCCGAAAGGGGCGAAGGTGGTCTGTGCAACCCAAGAGGGGGGTTTTAGGGGTTGCTTATATAGAATTTGGGAATTTTGAGATTTGGAATAGATGCCGATGGGATTGGGGAGGAGAACTAAGGGAGCTGGGTATGGTGGATGTTTGTTTGTTTATGTGATTTTGATTTGGTAGGTTATTGTGTTTTTAGATGCGTTTTATTAGTTCCGTTTTGATTAAGAATACGCCTAAGGCCTTGAAGTTTTCTAGTTTATTTTGTGGGTTTAGTATTGCTTCTAGAGTTAGAGCCTTGTTTAGATTGAGGGTGGTTTGTAATGCGGTTCGATGTGTTAGGTAGTGTGTGCAGTGGATGAGTGCGTGTTCTGGGGTTTCTGGTTGTTTGCAGTGTGGGCAGTTACCTGAAGTGTGTTTTTTAAATTTTTTTAGGTGGTTATTTAGGTTGGTGTGTCCTGTTTGGAGTTTAGTGATTACTCTGTCGATTTTTTTGGATGGATGGAGAATTTTTGGTTTGGTTAGTGGTTTGCTGAGCACTTTTTTGATTTGGCTATTTGAGTTTAGATATAGGTTATGCCATTTTTTGGTGATTTTTTGCTTGTTTACACTTTTAATTTCTGATTTTGAGATGGGTAAGTTTAAGCTTATTTCTGGGATTTTGAGGGATAGTTTAGCTGCTTTATCGGCGTTTTCATTACCGTATATTCCTACGTGGGCGGGTATCCACAAGAAGGTTATTTGTTTGCCTGCCTTAGTTAGGTCGTTGGAGCTTTTAAGTATTTGATTTATTAATTTAGGTCGGTTTTTGGTATTTTTGTTTTGGAGGGCTTGCAGTCCACTTAGGGAGTCGGTAAGTATTAGGATTTTTTTGTGGTTTTTGGATTCTTGATTATGGAGGGCTGAGGCCATGCCCATTAGTTCTGCCGTGAATATTGATTGGTTGTTTGGGAGTCGGAAGGATTGTGTGGTTTTAGTTGGTTGTGTGGTATGGACTCCGAAACCTGTGTGTTTGGAGGTCGGATCTGAGGATCCGTCCGTGTAAATGTGACACCAATTTGGCCAATTTTCGTGTATGTATGCTAGTGTGGTAGTTTTAGCTATGTTTGGGTCGGTTTGTTTATTTATTTGGCTAGCTAGTGTTGTGTCTATTTTGGGTATTTTAAGTTTAGGGGTGAAGATATTTGATTGTTTGCAGTTTTGTTTAAGATTTTTAATTTGGTGTTCATTTAGGTAGTTTGTTATTCTTTGGGATATTGGGGTAAGTAAGGGGTGTTTACGAGCTAGAGCTTGGTTTTTTGGGCTGATGTTTTGGTTTATTAAGTTTTGGATGAGAGGGTTTGATTGGGACGCGGCCCAGAAATTTAAGCTTAGCTGTTCCCTGCGTAGATTTAGTGGCATTTCTCCTGTTAAGGCCTGAAGTGAGGTGTAGGAGGTGCCATGTTGGGTGCGTGTAATTAGTTTGAGAGCCTGATATTGTATTGAGTCAAGTTTTTTAGATAGAGAGTTGTTTAGGGTGTTGTATATGGCGCAGCCGTAGTCTAGTTTTGATCTAATTAGTGATATGTAGAGAGAGAGGAGGGTATCTTTGGATGCTCCCCAGTTAGAGCCAGTTAGGCATCTTAGGGTGTTTAGGTCTTTACTGCATTTAGTTGTTAGGTTTTGGATGTGAGCATCCCAGGTGAGATGTTCATCGAAAATAAGTCCTAAGAATTTGGTTTGTTTTTGAAATTTGATTGTTTGTTTGTTTAGCTGGAGGCTTGGGGAGGCGGGTTTCATGTTTTTATGTTTGAATACTATTCCTGTTGTTTTTTCTGAGTTAAGGGAGAAGCCCCATTTGTCAGCCCATTGTTGTATTTTATTAAGAGATTTTTGGAGTAAATTTTGGACCATGTTCATGCTTTTAGTGCGGATCCAGATGGCTCCATCATCCGCGAATTTTGATGTGTTTACTTTAGGGGATAGGCCCTCGAATAGATCGTTTATCATTATATTGAAGAGGGTGGGGCTGAGGATACTGCCCTGTGGAGTACCATTTTCTAGGGGACATTGGTCCGATAGAGTTTGGTCTATACCCACGGTTATTTTACGATTGTTTAGGAAGTCCTGGATGTAGTTTATTATCTGACCTTTGAGTCCTATTTTTTTAAGTTTTTGTATTAGCCCATCGTGCCAAACCATGTCGAAGGCTTTAGAGAAGTCTAAGAAGATGCCTGTGGTATATTGTTTATTTAGTTGTCCTGTCTTAATATCTTGTTCTAGTCGGGCGAGGTTATCTAGGGTTGAGCGGCCAGGAGTGAAACCGCTTTGTTCTGGGTTTATGATGTTATTTTGGGTTAAGTAATGTTGTAATCTATTTTTAGCCATTGATTCCATTACTTTACATAAGTTTGAAGTTAGGGATATTGGTCTATATGAGTTAGCTTGATTAGCTGGTTTATTAGGTTTAGGGATTGGTATGACTAGGGCCTGTTTCCAGGGAGTAGGAACCTGTCCGTTTAGGTAGATGAGATTGTATAGTTTGAGTAGTGCCTGGAGTAGTTTTAGGGGGAGTTTTTTAATTATTTGGTAAGAAGTTAGGTCTAATCCTGGGGCTGTGCCCTTTTTCCTGTTTTGGATTA